TAGAACTCTAAAAATATTTATTTTACAAAACTCTTCTTACCAATTTCATGAAGAATTGTTTCATCATCATAGTTAACTTTTAGGGGCTAAACACAAGAGAGAGAGAAGAAAAAAAAAAAGATTCACTATAACACAACAAGAGGGATATTAAGAATCAACACATCACTCTGCAGATAATGAATTAACTAGCAAAATCCAAATCCACTACAGAACATTGATATGAATCATAAGACCATAAGATAGATATAATTAAATGTAAATTCCTAAAAAATAAAATAAAAATCACAGCCACAATACAGACATCCAACAGCTATGTAAGTTAACATTTTCTTAAATTTAAAATGTATTTCCAATAATACTTACCTTCACTGACACTATATCTATTTATCAGTCTCCACTCTTTGCCCATTTAAGCACTGAAAATGCCTGCTCCAGTCTTTATACCCCACTCGAACACCCTTGGCAAATTTGAATTTGTAAAATTCTCCACCAACTTCAATGCGCCCTCTATCTAGTTACTGTATATAAGCACCTCGTTCAGATAATGTAATCATCACTTTTTCGAGACATGAACCAGTTTTTAATGGGGAGAGTGTCAGCGGAGGTAAGTACGTGTTTTAAAAGTTTTGTCAAAAGGAAATCAGATTCAGTTTGCTGTGATAGCAGACAATATATATATATATGTGTGTGTCTTTTTTTAATTGGACTACTTGAAAAGAAAACAAAAAAACACTGATATGCTTGTGTTAAAGCAAATGGACTAAGAATCACCCAATGAGTTTTCTTTAATTACAAATGAATTTTAGCTTCCTATGATAGTAATCCAATATTAAATCTATTGGACTAATAAATACTCATGCATGATTCTGAGTCAAACTTCAGTGGATAAATTTCATTACTCCTGATGGTATTAAGTCAACTGGGAGAACAATTACCTATTTCTTAGACAAACATTCATTTCAAAATCAATATTATTGCAATCAAATTAGTTTATTATATTGTATAAAGAACATAATAATATTCATGTTTTAATGCTTACCTATCTGAATATTAATTTTTTGTCATCATATACACTAATAAGAGAACATTATGTGGCTGTTTATAAATTACACTACATTTAAGAAAGGCTTAACAACAAATAGAAATAAAAAGAGGAAAAGAAAATATTTACAGCATTAGGCAATAAGAATGTTGAGTGGATTTCATAAGCCCATTTTTTCATTTCCTTTGCTGTTCCTTCTTGGTAAATATTTGTGATCAAGTAGAAAAACTAAAAAAAAAATTAAATTAAATTTATGTAAGCCAACATCTCTCATTAGCTGTATATCTATTTGATCACCAAGTTTTTCAATAGTAACTGTTTTGAATCAAAAAGTGAAAATTAATTGCTGAATAAAACAACATTCCTTATATAATAAAACAATTGTAAATCTTCTGTATATCAATTGTAACATAAAAATCATATTCAATCAAAATGTTATGAATCTGAATATTCTTTTGGAAATGGAAAACACGGTAAAAATCAAAGGCTGTTTGTATAATTCTAAGTTAAATGAAGAGAGCTTAATAAAACTACTACAGCTCTAACACATCCGCATCATTTATTTTCAGTTAGGTGTAAGCAATACCATAAACCTTCATTAATTTTAAGTAACAAGTTGTTGATTGTGATGTATTTCAAATAAATTACACAGACTCATAGATTGTGCTTTTGTTAAATTAAGTATCAGCAATGATTGAATTAAAATTAGAAAGCTAACTATAATTTATTTTAAAGCCTAACTTTTACAATCACCACAAGAAACTTTAAAACACAAACTACTGCATCTCAACAAGGACAAACGTTAATGACAATACTAAGTTTAATTTCCAAATGAAATTTTTACATGTACAACCTTCAGATGTTGCAGTTAATAATTAATTTTTTTATACTGTAATTTACTTTACAAAATTAAAAATATCCTTTTTTTTTTATTATACTGATATGCTGTTTCAACATAACTTAAATGAACATGTTTGGGAAAAAAAGGATTAACTCTATAACAATTCATTAATATCTGGTAACCAAACTGAAGAAAATAATGTTTTAAAGTCACAGTTTTACAATACTGCATCTAAGCAATAACACATGCATTAACTGGCTAATATCAGAACAGTATTAAAAACTTGCTTAATTATTGTTACTAAAAATTCAGTGTAAATATTCCATAGACATATCTATGTTATTTCAGAATTGGAATAACTTTTTTGTATTTTATAAATTTTGTTAAAATGGACTTTTCTCACAAACATATCAAAATGTTCTGAGTTCAAATGAAACCTCAAGATCATTGAGGTTCCAACTCTTACAATCACCAGAATAAACTTTCTATTACAGAAAAATGAATATACAACACAAAGTCCGATGATATGTTAAAGAGATGGCTAAATCTGAATATAAAACATAAAGACACAGTACAATACACCACAGAGAGAGTCTGATAAGATACTCTGATTAGATGGCTAAACAAAAATAACAAAGACATGTGTACACATCACAGAGGGTGTCTGGAGAGATATTTTAATTAGATTGTTAAGCCTAAATAATAGAAAAATGTATATATATAATTGATCATAGAAGGAATATTGAAATAATTTTAATTTGAAGGCTGTGCCTAAAGAACAGAAAGACATGTATACACAACATACAGTCTGAAAAGAGATTTTGTAGTGTTAAGTAAAAACCAAAATATTTAGTTTCACTTGAAAAATTATATAATAAGTAATAGTCTATCTTCATTTTCATATGAATTTATTTTATATCATGCTATATTTAAAGAAATTACTTTGACAAGATAGGTGGTATTCTAAGAACATATACTATATATTACATGAGCAAGAAAACCTCAAAACTAACTCTAATTCTGTACAATGACATCTGTGTTTCAGTTGTCAATAACTGTCTAAAACTATAATATGCAGAAAACAAACTTTAATAGACTTTACATAACCTACTTCCACTTTTATGTGCTTTAATCAAAGTCTATCACCATGTCAAAATCTTTTTTGAAACTGGTATGAAACCCATATTCTGAATTGCAGCCACTCTTTACGATTAATTCTATATCAAGCTAAACAATGGCTTCAGCTTAAACCTTTGAGTGTAGAGAATTTCAAACTGATATCCCAAATATCAATAAAGTTATGGCTTCCTAAAAGTGTGGAAGGATTGTACTTTACCAAACTGAATTTTTCACCATCAAGGGGATTTGACTATAATTCTAAAAGAGCATTACAGTATACCTGTAATACAAGCACCCAACTGTTTGACAGCTTATCCACCTACAAGTGTATTTCTTATGTTTTTAGCACAATATTGTTAGAAGATCTATATTGTGCACATAGTAAATATAAATGGAAATATGTTCTGAGAAAAATATATAGGTTTCCAAACAAGGATGAACCCCACAAATGAGTCTGTACATAATCTTTAACATTGTACTTTTCATAGTTGATCTATTTACTGTGTAAAAAATTAGAAAGACACTATGATGATACATCATAAAATAAACTGGTGTTACAAAAGACATAATAGTGAGTGAATAAAATGTGAAGTTTAACAACCCACTTACAATATATGTTTGCTCTTAATTGTAAAATTATTCCAAAATGTATGCAGCATAACTTCTCTTGAACAGTCAACAAAGGAGACTGGATCATTTTGATTGTTAAACAGAGGTGGTTGCCACAAGATATTTGTATTTATATGAATACAGATATTCTTCCCTGACTAGCAGCAAGATCATTAGCACTGGTAGACTGTATAGAGACAAATAATAATGATAATTATTGATATTCAATCCCCACAACCTTACAGTAAGTACATATCTGTTCTTCAAACTTTAGTGGCCTATGCATATCAGACTTGTTGGTATTTCTGTGACATATACTTACAGTTTGAAATTCAGTGAATTTTTCATAATTACCAGAAACTATATGGTCATTTGGCAATAACGTTTGGAGTTGGTTACATAAAAGTTAGTACCCGTTCGCAGGTATGAGGGGTTGCTGGTCAAGGGAAATAAAATATATAAGAAAAATTATCAGGGGAATAAAAACTGGTTAAGTATCAGAAGTGAACATTACTGGACATTAGACTGTAATCACTTGAGTCACATCAGTTAATGGTGAAAATGTCAACCACACATTTAAAATATTTCATGTCAAAGTAGCATCAGCTATCGATGTTTCCAAATTCTGATCTGCATCACCTAAGATGATGTAATTTCTTTAGTATCTGATATTAAACATTATCTGTTATATGCTATCCTTGCATAATAGTAACATTTAAACTGAATATGAAATTTTGAAAACTGAATACTGCAATACTACCTTGGTTGAAAAGGAATGACCCATACCCACTTTGTACACTGATTAAGCATTAAAAATATATCTTTATTATGGTTTCAAATCAGCTCCTAAATTCTAAATGCTTCTGTAATAATCACATAACATATATGTTACATGTCATATAATGAAAGTATACAAGAATCAAATAATAGCTTAAGTAGATTTCAATACTTACTAAACTTGCTGGTTCACTGCTAGTAATAAGAAAATGCATAAAAACAGCCAAATGAGCAGGATGCCTCAACAGCTTCCACATTGCATTAAATGGACCATGATTTTGTAAAAGACCCTGTAATTGTAAACAAGTCAAATATAATTCTTAAATGTGTTACCTCCAAAATTTAATTAATATAAATATCACTTAAACTTACAAATACAGATAAATGATATCAGTTCGACAGTTTTACAAAAGGACAAAGAAACAAATTAGTAGAAACTGCACATCTATTTTATTCAAATAATGAAACTGTAGTTCTTATATAATCTTCTGGAGAATTTTTAAATTGCACATACTTACCACTTCAGAGTCAGAAGGCCAGTCCTCATCTTCTAATGACATAATGCAATACTGAGAGGAATGTAAACCAAGAAATCCATGGGGAATGTCTGGAGGTGTGCCATACTATTCCATAGATCAAAAACATTTTAAATGAAACTTGCTGCTGTTAAATGGCAAACAACTATCGAAATTAGATATATGCAAAAATAAAGTTTAAAACAGTATTAAATCAACCCTTTCTAAATTGATATCCTTCGATTTTTTTCATTTTCATAGCAGAAAAACTTACACTGTATGAAACTTAGTAAAAACGTAATAAATAGAATTTGTTTTGATTTTAGAAAATTTATATACTTTGATTTAGTAAATTATTTTAGATTATACAATTTCCAAACCTTTGTCTTAGAAATTATGTTTTTATTGTTGATCAGAAAGTTCAGTTTTATATTATTAGTTACCTACCACTTAAGGTTTCACAACGGAATTCCCATTACCTTTGTCGGACTTGGTATCACAACATTTTCTACCAACAGTCTTGGCCAAAATGAATTTATAGCTAATAAATATCTTTAATTTCAAGATATAATAGGTTATCTTATTTGTGTGCAATAAACAGAATAATAATATTCAATAAATAATAATATGAACCAAAAGAATACATTGATGTTGCAACAACTATATCTATCAATGTCATGTAAACTAATCAAGTAATTAAAAATACAATTAAATCAATTAATGAAAATTAGTTTCTGAATTTTACTGTTTTAGATTATCCCAACAATAAATTAATCAAAGTTAAAGTTGAATCAATTTTGACAAAAATAATCAACTAACTGAAATTAGGTTTCTCAATTATTACAATTTTTGATTATTCCAATTATCCAAGTAATTAATATATATTGCTATTATGTTTGATTGTTCTTGAGCACAAAGCGATATAATGGGTAATGTGTGCTCTGCCCAATTTTAGCCTTATAAGTTCATTCTTTTCTCTCTTTTACTTCAACTCTGTTCAGCTTTGATTATTTGTGTGTGGATGTGTTTTTCCTTCTTGAGCTGCTGACTTGAGAGAAGACAACTGGTTGATAGTGCCCACTGCCAACTTTCTCTTTGGTTGTATGTAATATGCTTTGAAAAACACTGTACTAGACAATTAATCAAATATCATTGGCCATCAGTTACCCAAATAATAAACACAACTAACTGACCCACTCTAGCATTTCTAAGCATAACTAAGCTTACCTGATGTCTTGTTATAGAGAAGACAGTTTCTGCAGCTTCCAAAGAGATATACTTTAACATTAAAAATTTTTCAAGAAGTGCACTGGAAAATATATGTCCCAGCCTTGGTGAAGGGGTTAAGATTAAAAAGAATTTTTATCATCTGAAAATTTTCAATTTCATTTGCATAACTTCTAAAACCTCCTAATTATATATTATTTTTTCAGTAGAACTTTGTATTTTATGTTATTTCCTCTAACCTAACTCTGTAAGTACTTGATCAATTTCACCACCATAAAAACATATGAATGACAGTATATTATAACATAAAACTACAGTTGTTTATCTTAAATAAATTAAGGCTCATAACAGTATACATCTGTTTCTACTTAACCCTTTGAAATGGGAGCCCCTTTAAATGCTTTTCTGTGCAAGTTTCTGTGTTACACTTAAAATTTAATTAAACACCTTTAAAATCAATGTATGTTAATGAATTTAATATTATAATATGTGTTATGATTCAGAGTTTCATTTTATCCAAGTTTTAAGTCCTATATTTCTAAATATACCTTTAAAAACACTACTTAAAACTTCAGATGTATTGTCAGGTGGCCAACAAGCTTTGAAAATTCTCTAATTTGACACTCTGTACCTTCAAGAATACAATTGGCAGTACTGTAGAGGTATGTCTAAACAATAAAATGCTTAGATAACCTTCTGACTCTTTCATTTCAAATACAGTTTGAATAAGTAATACATTTTTTCAACCCCTGACAGCTGTCACGACTACCTTCAAAAGATTTGTTTGAGCTTTATAGCCTCCATGTAGACATTACATACACATATGTTTAACCATTAAAAAGAGCTCATTTTACAGTATAATCTAACAATGGTTATTTTGAAATTGGCATCAATTTGTCATCCCAGAGTACATAAAATTGGCTATAGCATGATTGGCTGTTTGATCGACTATAGCACTTACGGTTGTTTCTTACCTAAATATATTACAGTTATAAATACAGTTTAAATTATATTTAGGTCTTACTATTATATTTTAGTTAATTATGTATTAGTTATGTTTTAAAATGTATAATTAAAGGTTTAAACATTTTTTTTAAATACACTTCATACTTTGTGTCCATTCTCAAGGCTTACAATATTACACACAGAGTGAAAATTTTACCAAAAGGTTGTGCATATCTTCTCCAAAAATTGTAATATGCCTTGAGAACACCATTGACTTGTGTCAAGATGAATAAAAAGTGGTAAAGTACAAGAATGGAAAATAAAAAATTAAATATATGTGAAAGGGAAAAAGACCCAAAATTACAAATATAAGCAAAACAACATCTTTAAAGATAATCTACAAAAAATTGAAAGGAATGTTTTTTCACCCCCAATTTTAAACTTTTCATTGCACTGTACGTTGATGATAATAGCTAGAGTCAGTGATATGGTATAGAAAATGAAAAATAAAATATAAATATTTCCTTTAAAAAACTTTTGATATCCCTTTAGGAGGTTTTAGAAATAATGCAAATGAAATATGAAAAACTATAATAATACAAAGAAGTATTCTTATGCTTAAAATGAAAATACCCTTGCACTTGATTTGTTAAAAGTTTGAATGCAAGCAACTACAACAGAAAAATACCATTTTTAGTGTAAAACACTTAGTTATAAAACCTTAATTATTTGAGTACAAGATATTTATGATCTTCAACAAAATCTTTCCAGTTTTTGAGAAGATATTTTATGAAATCTCAAAGTTACCACATTTATTGTTGTACAAGTGAAATTTGCAACTGGATTTCCACAAACTGTACTAGCCTGCCATGAAAGGGTTAATTTTATTTTCCTTTGGACTGTTGTCTAACTAATAAGAAGTTGTGAATTACTTGGTGAATGCATAGCTCACATTACCAGATTGAATGACATAATGCACGAGCTGCTCGTGAATATATCTTGTGAATTTTTATTATTATTTTTGATTATCTTACCTAATCTAACTTTATCTAACAATTTTCTAATTTTTACGTTTTAATTACTTATATAATAATAAATAAAAAATGAACATGAAAAACAAGAAATATTGTACTCTTGTTTGATCTGATGTTTTTTGCTGTCGGTTGCCAATGAAATTTAAGCTTACTTTTTTTAATAATGCATTAAATACTCATTTACTTAAATAATGCATTTAAGAATACCGAATAATAACTATGTCCTATAGCTATTATAATCCAATAAGCCTTCTAATTAAGAGCAGCTCCGAATAATTCCTGTAGCTGCACGATCTGAACACCGTGAAATAAACTTTCAAACTAAAGACAAACTGAGAATACACTGTAGTCGAAACAATGTAACATTATATATATTGTTCGATAGATTAAAGCTTTGCCTCTCTATAGAATATATATGATTGTGATATACACATTTTGACCTACCCATAGCAAGAGGATTAATAAACAGTTTCAGGTTTTTACAGGAAAAATTTCTCAATGCTGCATAGAAATGAAAGTTGGAACATTTTATTGCAAATTACACAAAAAAAGTTACAAAATATCAATTATAATAGTTGTGAGCTGAAAACTGTTGAAATGATAAGAATTATTATCTTTACTTGAATTTTGAAATTTGTTGTGCATGTGTGCATTTGACACCTGAAAAGTGCTCACATGTTTGGAAAGGAGTAAGGACAAAATATTTTTATTAGTGTCCATGTAATTTTTGTTTAAAGAATTACACAAAAATAAAAAAGTAGAAAGTTTGCAAACAAATACAAGAAAAAAATTCCATTCAACTAGTACACTGAGCTATTTTCAGCTAACTCTTGGTTATAATTTAATCTATGCTTGGCAACTTGAAACAATTTTCATGCCTTAATCATGAAGAAACATTAGTTACTTATGGGATAGTACCATACAGTACTAAACTTTAATGTCAACAGTGGAATAAGAAGCAAATAAAAATAGAAACAGCATTAATGGTCAAGTACAGCTTTGAACTTTATTTTTGCATTTTTTTTTAGCAACTTAACAATACACATTAAATGTTGCACTTTAAACAAGTTTATATGATTTCAGGAATCAGACTAGAAGTAGCTTAGATAGTCATGAAGTTTGGACCACATACTACTGCTTGATTGGGTTTCTATTCATAAATGTTTTACTATTAGAAGTATCTACATACATTGTAGTAGTGTCTCTCAAACTAACCACTAATGAGAGTCATATATGTGGCCATCAAATGGTTATGTGGGCTGCATATAGTTTCCAGACATGAAAGTCACAGTCATATGT